TCTTCCCAAGCTTTCACTTCATGAGGAAGGTATAGGCTTTCAATATAGACTAAAAAAATCTCTGCCAGCTAAGAAGCATGGTCTACATTTATGGATCTCCTGGAAGGAGACTTGCTCAAATACACATCTCACATTCTGAAATGATGAAAAAAGACAAGCAGCCAGGTTGTGCCCACAGGTGACAGCAGTGTAGTATTTAAATTTACAACAATTCTGTACAGGCCAGGCATGTGGCATTTATAGTACAGTGCTATAAATTACAAGACTAAATAAGTTTGATCATCTAAAATTCTCCAATTTTAGACATGTGACAGCATTTGTAATCATGACAGCAGCAGAGAATGTGAAGCTGATCATTCAGAGACTGCACTAAGGCACACTGAAATTAAGAGAATGAAAAGCCAGGAAGGTTATAGTAGCTGATCTTTGTGGGTTACTGAGATGGAAGTGGTCAATTTGTGGCTCAGAGCTCCTCATAATTCCAGGGCAAATTTCCAAAAGGACATTCAGCAAATCAGCAGGATGATTAAGAACAACAATCCGAGACTTGCCATGTTTTTGACTTGGCTATATGACAGCGTTGAAGAAGCTGCTATTAACACAATCTACTATATTTGAATGTACAGGACTCTTTGAAGATTAAAGATTGGGGGGGGTTCATAGAACAGTACACTATGTACAGTTCTAATTACTGCAATGCAAAAAAGTATTGTAAAGCCCAAAAAGGTGCAGAAGCAGGCAACTAAAATTATTTGGAGGCTAGTGCAACTCTAATATACGTGAATGTCCACAGCATTTGACACTGTATAGCTTGGAAAGAAAAACATAATAGGATATATGACATCCAGTGGGGAAAATATGAAGAAAGAGACAGTTCCTTCATCCTCTTTCTTACACAGCATTGAGGACTTAAGATCCCCACTGAATCTCAATACCCAGGAAATTTGGGACCAATAAAAATAAATACTTATTCACCCAATGCATAAACTATGGAACTGATTGCCAGCAGGTACCAACAAAGGCCACCCATTCAGGTGATTCTGAAAGAGAACCTCATCTTGAAAGACAATTTATCTTAAATAATAGCAGCTGTGGGATAATAGGAGAAAAGGGCTCTTCCCCTTGTCTCCTACTTGGAAGCTTTCAGGATACATTGCATTAGCACCTCTGTCCCCAGAATAGTGGACCGGATGGGCCTTTAATATCACGCAGCATGATTTTTATATTCTTATGAGAGAGAGGAGTAGCAATATGGGTGTTTCCTGGAGGAATCAGGAATTATAGAAAGAACTGTTGTGGAAGAATAGACAGGGTTTGAAGAAAGACATATCCTAACCACATTCTTGGGCTGGATTGTACTTTTCTAGGCCTGTTTTTTCACTGAAGTTGTTCCTTATCAAGTAACTGCAACCTGATTTACTATGGAACAACTCCAATATGAGAAACTAAGCTACGTCTGCAGTAATGTGCTTTCAAGTCTCCTGGCTCATATCTGCCTGCCTCATTCCCTATTTACTCCTGTGCTCTTTCTTGCCCTCCAAAATTCTGCTGACCTGGTTTCTAGAGTTCTAAAATGTCCTTGTTTTGCATAGATCATCAAAACAAAAACGTGTCATCATTGTTCAAAACCTGCGAACGTGTCTGAGACTGGCTTCATATCCCAGAACAGAATTTGCCCAAGACTGTGGAGCTGAGATCTACTGAGCTTTTCTTCCATCTACAAGAGACGGAGGAAAAGCTGACCATCCATAAACCAAAAGTGACCTTTTAAAGCAACCCTTTTATCTTCTAAGAAAGAAAACTTATTTACCATTTCTTATTTACAGAAATGAGAGTAACTTTCAGTTAGTGAAAATGCCTATTTCAATGCCAGCTTTTGATGACATTTTAATTCTATTTAATTACAAGATTTTCTGAAAAGTCACCATTGCAATCCAAAATATACAGAGGCCAGTTACAATATTAAAAATCCAATTTCAGGATAATGAGTCAGTTTGTTCATTATCATTCTTCCTAGGTCCAGTAAGTAAAGTCTCTTTCAAGCTAATTATTTCATGGACCCATCCATACAGTTTTCTTAGTAACCATACAGAAGTGTATTGCCTTCTCTCAGAATGATCCCAATCTATATACATGGGATTCCTTGGCAGTCTCCCATCCAATTTCTAATCAAGCCTGACTCTGCTTAGCTTCCATCTGTGAAGCCTCTTGCTCTGAGAAATCCTTCTAGATAATAAGGTTCTGCCCTGTGGGGTTAATAATATTCTATCCTTACATACATGATCGCTGTGAGGGATTCTGAATTGCTACCCAAAGGTCATGCTATAATTTACATTGGCTTTGTGAATCTTATGCAACATTTCTGAGGATATATAACCTGTAACCTTCACTAACTGATGGAAGCCAAAAGCGGCCATATGTTCCCCCTTCCGGTATGCCCAACAGATGTGTCCACAGCAGCTGTGTGTTCAGTTTCAATGTAAGAGAGAAATTTGCACAAAGAGATGAGCATGCAAGGAATGCCTCCACAGGGTTGCAAGCAGCTCATTGTGCATACAGCCAAAGTAATAACAGAAGCAGTTAAAAATCTTCTGTCCTTAAAATGATGAGAAATCAGCTGAATTTGATTCAGATGGGAAGTTTAATACTCAAAAGAGCCAATGTGCAGACTCATGGCAACGCTGTGGCCGGCATCTTGACTTTTTTTTTTTTTTTTACCATATCCCAAGGACACCCCTGGTGCAGACATTTTCCTATGTTGAGGCACCCATTCCTTCATTTTTTAAGGCATCAGGGATCTTTTCACTACCCAGATCTCTCCTTCTTTCCTACCTCTATTGTTTTCCTCACTGTCAAAACTTAGACTGAAATTTTTTTGCAAGAAAAGAACCCCCTTTTGGTTTGTTTGCTCAAGAGACTATAAAGCATCCTTTGGTTTGGTTCATTGGATAACAATGAAGCATGATTTCCCACTTCTATCCCAATCCAGATGGAAGTTTTCCCTAGCTTGATGTCCTCCAGATACAGCTACCCTAATTCTCAGCCACAATGAGTTTCTCCAATTAGGGAAAATACCAGGATGAGAAAGACTGGTATATCGAATCCCACACTATAAATTGTAAATTAGGTTTAATAGTATGCAATATGTTGGATAATACACAAGTCTATCCTATTTTATTATGTTATCAAAACTCTCAGGATATGTGCAAGAATTACAAACAGCTGATTTTACAATGTTGTGGGACAGTGAAACAATTTCTATTAACCAGTCATAAATGGCTAAAACAGATAGCTCCTTTCACATAATTCTCAGAACTACTGCATTACACCCTTCCCCAAGTCAACACAAATCTCCAAGATTAAAAAAAAAACCTTCTGAACAAGTGTGGATGTCAAAAACACTCAAAGATGTTAATGTTATTTAAATGGGATTTTATTTTTTGGTGTGGCCTATATAGAAACACCAAAAGAATAAGAAGCTCAAGGTTGCGCTCTTCAGGACAGGCAGAAGAAAACCTGTTGATCACCCAGCCTTTGGAGGTGCAGAACCAAGCTAATGGACCTATCTACATGAGAAGAAGGGTTCTGTTTACATTATAGCATATCACTGGGCAGATATGCTGTTTGCAACAATACAGTTTGATATTCATGAGATAGTTTACCCCAGGAAGTGGCTGTGCTCATAGCACAGACTGAGCCACAAATCAGCCAACCCCATTTCATCTGAATGCCTTGTCAGCCGGTGGATTCTGAGTGTCATACGCAGCCAGAAAACTGGGTTAATGAAGTAAAGGTGGTTCAGGTGGTCATGGATAAGAATCCCAAGTGAACATAGCTACTATAACTACTATGGGTTTCCCTCCTTCCTTTTTTCTTCACGTCAAATATCCATTCTTTTGCTGACTTTTACAGAACAGTATCTATTCTTTTCAAGGAAAGAGAAAGCAACTCAAAAGAGACCCCTGCTGACGGCGTACAAAATCTATTCTCAACTCCAGTCAAAACAATTTACACTTCCATTCAAACTTTTCGCACCTTTCTCAGATAAACTCTCTGAACTCCCCAACCTCACCATAAGTTCACGTTCTACCTTTACAGGCAGGTAAAGAAAACTAAAATAAAGTTGACCTCAGTGGCAAAAAAAAAGTCCAGAAGTTTTGGGAGAGGGAGGAGACCTTTATTTGAGGGTAAGAAAAACCATTCATCAAAGACACCCTTAGATTTCAGGAATGGTTCCTTAGGTGGAACCTCTAGAAAGAGTTGAAGCTCTTCAGATAAGTTAGCCTTCTACAGTTTCTACCAACTCAGACATTTCCTGTTCAAACTTGTTTTTGCCTCTACAGGTGATCAAAGCCAGCCTATCTTTAATGCCTGTGAATTCAGAACAATTTTTCTCTTTTCCATCACTCCTTAGGACAGCTCCTGAGCATTTCACACAGCCGGAAAGAGGTTCAAAGCCCGTTTTACAGGCATCTGGCTTCTAAGTGTATTTAAAGCAGGGTTGTTGTTTTTTTATTTTTTTGTTTGTTTTGGCCATAGTTTACCCGGAATACAATTCTAGGTAATTCTTAGATCACTCACAATCAGCTGGCTGTGCCTCTGTGTGTGGAATTTTTTAAAAAAAATGTTAACATCGCACCAATCATAAATACACCGTAATTTATCAAGTGGTACAAAGTGGGGAGACTACAGTTAGTCCCTTTAAGGAACCCTAAATGGGCATCGTCCCCAATCCTCTGCACTGAACTGCCTGGCCAAGGGTCAAGATTTATCTCGCTCCTTTACCCTTTTATATTACTCCTCGTGATGTCCCCCCAGCTCCCGAGAACCGCAATCTCCAAGGGATTTTACGAACAGCAAAGGGCGACCTTCGGAGCAGCGCGGCTCAACCCGAGAGCGCTTCACCCACCCCGGCCGCGCGCCTTCCCGCGAGCCAAGCTTCCACGTGCCCCGGCCGCGCCCGGCCACCCTGCCCCGCCGGGGCTGCGTTCACCCCTCACCTGTCGATGCTGATCACGCACAGGGTCATAATCGAGGCGGTACAGCACATCACGTCCATGGCGATGAAGACGTTGCAGAAGACGCTGCCGAAAATCCACTCGCCGCCGATTAGGTCGGTCACGCTGACGAAGGGCATGACGGCCACGGCCACCGACAGGTCGGCCAAGGCCAGCGAGACGATGAGATAATTGGACGGCTGCCGGAGCTTCTTCACGAAGCAGACCGAGATCACCACCAGACAGTTGCCCGCGATGGTCAGCAGCGTGATGAGCGTCAGGGCGGCTCCGATCACCACTTTCTCCACGTTGCCGTAGCTCAGGATCTGCTCGCCGCACTGCGTGTCGTTCCCGACGTCGCCGAAGCCCGGGCCGAG